TTTCTAAACTTTTCATTCTCCCACCCATCTTTCATAAATGTTTGTGTTTTCTTCTAATGGGCTTAGGGCACCAACCTCCCTCCGTCTTCAGGCTTTCAGAGTTACCGTTTCCTCTGCCTGGAACACTCTTTTCTCTCCACTGCACCAAGCCAAATTTGAATCATCTTGTGAATGTGTGTGAATGTATTGTATAGTTTGTTTTTATTCCTCGTTTTATCAAGTTCAGTGGTTGAGAAACATTATTTATCATGTTAAAGAAATACTATTATATTCCTACTCTACTAATGGTTTCCAAGTAGGGAATGGATAGTTAACTCTGTTACTGCCTTTTTGACTGTGATGGATATCTTTTAAACTATGACTATAGTAAATCCTGTTTAAAGGACTTTTCTATTAAATTATCCTTATATTTTTGCAAGGATTTTTTTTCTGCCTAAATGCATAGTAATAATTTTGAAATTTATGATTTAATTTGCTTTTTAAAATTTTACTTTAGGGCTTTACATCCTGCTTGACTTACATTAGCATTGTTTTATTCCAAAGATTGATTTGAGAAGCTTTCTATATTTTATATTCCCTATAGCTTTTGTTTGTTTGTTTTTGAGACAGGGTCTCTCTCTGTCACCCAGGCTGGAGTGCAGTGGTGCAATCACAGCTCACTGTGGCCTTGACCTCCTGAGCTCAAGTGATCCTCCTACCTCAGGCTACCAAGTAGCTGGGACTACAGATGTATGTCACCTGTATCTGGCTAGTTTTTCTTGTTTTTGTATTTTTTGTAGAGATGTGGTCTTGCCATGTTGCCCAGGCTGGTCCCAAACACGTGGATCTTCCAATGGACCCTTCTGGGCTCAATGGATCCTCCTGGGCTTAATGGATCCTCCTGCCTCAGTCTCCCAAAGTGTTGAGATTACAGGCATCAGCCACTGCACCTGGCTCCTTGTAGCTTTATGTAACTTGAGACTTAATTCTTTCTTAAAAGTTTTTTAAAACTTACCTGAAAAATTTTGGGGCATTATATTTTTTTCATAAGTGTTCTTTGATAATCTAATCTTTTTCTTCTGTGAGTATTGTTGATGATTTCACCACACCCTTTGTTACATGTGAACCATTTCGTTTTTAAAATTCTTAATTCTTTGGATTTTAGTTTTTAGATATTCATTACTGTTTAGCTATGTTGAATTGCGGTTCAAGAATGTGACATATAATCTATGCTTTTAAAATTTTTTTAATCTTTAGTTTTCATGGGCATTTGAAAATATGTGTCATCTATCAGGGCTTAGAGTTGATGTGCATATCTGTTTAATTAATTTTACCAATTCTGTTATTCTCTTTTACTACATATATATTTTTGTCTTTTGATCTATAAACAGGATGGGGATTTTTTAAACTATCTTTTTATTGTCTATTTCTTACAGATTTTATTATAGTTAGAAAATATAGTCTATATAAAATCAATTCTTAGAGCTGGGTTAAAATCTCCTATGTAGCTTGGTATATTTTCTGTACGTTTGAATGTTTTATCTATGTGTCATTTTAAAAAAAAGTATTCTCTAATTGTTTCCTTAAGTATTTTAAAAATGTACAGTATATCTAGTGTCAATTTTGATGTTTATATCTTCTATATCTTTACTGTATTTCTGTTTGATTTATTAGTGTCTGAAGACATCTTTTAAAGGCTTACACCATGCTAAAATATTTCTCCATGTACTCTTGTGATAATTTTACTTTTGGGTTTATTTGAGTCCGTATTTTTAAATAATTAAGTTTCATTACTGTCATACCTTTTTATGGTTTGTTCCTTTTATCATTAAATAATGTTTCTTTTTTCCTTATAAGTGCATATGCCCTTATATTCATTTTTCTTATATTAATATTGCTATGTCACTTTCTTTGGGATATTGTTTGCTTTATACATATTTTCCCTCCCCTTTATTTTTAACATTTCTGTTTTATTTTATTTAGGTGTGTCTTTTGTGTTTGATAGCATCTGTCGTTTCATAGGTCAGCTTATACCATTGGCACTTACTGTGATTTATGGTATATTTGGATTTGTTTCTTCCATATTATTTTATGTCTTCTGTTAACCATGCTTTTTCTAGGCTTATTTGTTCCTCCTCTTCTTCCTGTTTGTTTTTGCTTTTGTTTTTGACTGATAAAGCCTTTCTAGTACCTCTTTTTTTCTCCTGTTGTTTTGGGAGTTTTGCATTTTATCTGTTTTTCAGTGGTAACCACTAATGAAGTTTTAACATAAGCATTTAACCATAGATTTTTCTTTCTGTTTGAAGTTAGTCAACATTTCTGTCCTCTTGCATTTTATGGCAAAGAGCTTAACATTTTGTAACTATTTAGCATTTTAAACTTCTTCCGTGAACTTTGATCTTATAATTGTTTGTCTAGAATTTAATTCTACTCTTTTTTAAACACAAAAAATCTGTGAGTTTTTAAAAATATTCCATAGTGTGTTAAAATTGCAATGATATTTCACCACCATTTATGCTATTGTTTTTTATAACTCACCCCTTTCTTTCTGGTATAAATTATTCCTTTCTGAGTTTATTTACTCTAGTAACTATTTCTGAGAAAGTCTGTGAGTGGTAAACACTTTCAATATTTGTTTGTAAGTGTTCTGACTTTAAAATTATTACCTAAGCTAGCTGTATGATTCTAAGCTAACAGTTATTTTGACTTAGTAATGTAAAGATATTAGCCGATTGCCTTTTGGTATCAATTGTTGTTGCTGAATAATCTCAGGTTACCCTGAATTGGCATTCTTAAGGAATTAATCTTTTTCTTTCTAGTAGAGTTTAAGATTTTCTTTATCTTTAATTTTTATAGTTTTAATTCAATGTGTCCAAGTATGAATTTCTTTCCTTTTTTTTTTTTTTTTTTTTTTTTTTCCCTGAAACAGTCTCTTTCTATCACTCAGGCTGGAGTGCAGTGGTGTGATCTCAGCTCACTGCAGCCTCCACCTCCTGGGTTCAAGTGATTCTCGTGCCTCAGCCTCCCACATAGCTGGGACTACAGGTGTGCACCACCATGTCCAGCTAAAGTTTTTGTATTTTTAGTAGAGACAGGGTTTCACCATGTTGGCCAGACTGGTCTTGAACTCCTGAGCTCAAGTGATCTGCCTTCCTCAGCCTCCCAAAGTACTGGGATGACAGGTGTGAGCCATCATGCCCAGCTGAATTTCTTTCTTGAAAATCTGTCTTGTCACTTGGTGGGTACTTTCAATCTTAATATTCCTGGGTTTCTTTTGCAGTTTTGAAAAATTATCAGCTATTTACCTCTTTATATATTGCTTCCAGGCTGCTCCCCTCTTTTATTTTTCTCAAACTTCTATCAGAGGTGTATTAGTGCCTGTCATTCTATACTTTCTATCTCGTAACTATTCTTTAATAGTATCCATGTCTGTATTTCTTTGTACTATGTTCTGTATATCATAATGATTATAATATATTATAATGATTATTATATTATGATTATTATATTAATATGTATTATGATTATTATAATGTATAATGATTATTCTGTTGAAAAGCTGGGAAGAAGGTGGCCCTGATGACTGTGTATAAGAAGCATTTTACATAAAAATTCTGCTTTCTTATTTCAACTACTATCTTTCAACTTTTGTATTTACTCCTTTTGTGGAGGCCTTATAAATACAGTTTTGTTCATTTAAACAGTATATCAGTCACGGTGCTCACCCTGGGAATTAAAAGGTGCCCAAAACATGATCCCTGAACTAACACTCAAGGTTTTAATAATTGAGTGTGGGACAAAGATGTAAACAGATCATTTAAATAGTATCTGTGTGACAAGTGACATTATAAGACTGACATTTACAGGATAACATAAGGTTAAGGAAAAGGGCATTTGGGTCTGCCTAGCATGTCAGGGAAAGTGGAGGGAGATGGATGTTTAAACCGAATCCTAAAAGACAAAATAACATTAGCAAGGGAGATATGGGGCAAGTAAAACACTCCCACTCACCATTTTTTCTCACTCTCAGCAGATGAGCTTGCCTTTGACTTTACAAAAAAAAAAAAATAATAAAAATAATAATAATAAGGTTTATTCAGAAAGTAGATGTATCTTTTATGGCCAAACAATGTGCCAGTCTGTTCTAGATGCTTTATAAGTCTGTCACTGACTATTTCACCTCTAAACGTCAATCACACTACTTATTTGACTTTGATATATACCTTGCCCTTTAACTGAAGCAACCATATGATTTACTGTATAAATGCAGGTAGCTCTCATTTCACAGAGGAGTGAGACAAAAGAAGGGACCATGTCTATAGCCTTTCCTCCCATTGTCTTACAAAAATAAAACAGAACAAAACAGCTTTATTGAGATATAATTCATATACCTTGAGCTTTACCCTTTAAAATGTACAATTCACAAAGTGGTGCCTCTTCATTTTCTAGTTGTATGCCACAGTGAATTCTCTACAAATCTGATGAAGCTTAAGCTTCAGATTCTCTCATTTGCAGGAGCCCTTTCTAAGACCCTCGCTGGGCTTTAGTAATGTGCTTATATGAGTGTCTATTTTTATAAAATCAGGGGAAAATTGTTCTTAAACGACAATTTTTAAAATTATTATCCTTTTCCACCTTGACTTCCCTTCAGAGTCACTTTCCTTTATGCTGATAATACTGGGGTGGCCACAGAATTTTTGCATTCATAATTTTATATTTTTTCTTTAAAAAGTACACTCAAGTTGCATAAACCTGGGCCCCATAAAACTTGGATCTGCCTCTCCTCATATATCATAGAGTCTAAGCCCTGCTCTCCTGAGAGTCTTCTCTTTTGATTTTCAAATGCCTACTATGGAAGTAGAAACAACATTCTTTACATAAGCTCTTCCTTTCTTTTGGCAAATTTCTACTCTGGGGAAACAGAATTCTCATTCAGGTATGTAATGGCTTCTGACTGCTTAAGGAAGGGTTAATAAACAAAATTCTAGAATGTTCTCTTTTGATTTCTCCTTTCCTTTCAGCTCCTGTCATCACCACTCCTCTTGAAACAGTGGATGCCTTAGTTGAAGAAGTGGCTACTTTCATGTGTGCAGTGGAATCCTACCCCCAGCCTGAGATTTCCTGGACCAGAAATAAAATTCTCATTAAGTAAGTATTCCACATTTAACTTTTTAAAATTGTTGTGGGTATATAGTAGGTATATACATATTTATGAAGTAGATGAGACGTTTTGATACAGGCATGCAATGTAAAATAAGTACCTCATGGAGAATGGGGTATCCATCCCCTCAAGCATTTATCATTTGAGTTACAAACAATCCAATTACACACTTTAAGTTATTTAAAAATGTATAACTAAGTTATTATTGGCTATAGCCACTCTGTTGTCTTATCAAATAGTAGGACTTTTTCATTCTTTCTACTTTTTTGTACCCACTAAACATCCCCTAGTCCCCCCGATCCCTGTACTACCCTTTCCAGCCTCTGGTAACCATCCTTTTACTCTCCATGTCCATAAGTTCAATTGTTTTGATGTTTAGATCCCACAAATAAGTGAGAACATGCAATGTTTATCTCTTGTGCCTGGCTAATTTCAGTTAACATAATGATCTCCAGTTCCATCCATGTCTTTGCAAATGACTGGATCTCATTCTTATGGCTGAATAGTACTCCATTGTGTCTATGTACCACATTTTCTTTATCCTTTCATTTGTTAATGAACACATAAGTTGCTTCCAAATCTTAGTTACTATAAACAGTGCTGCAACAAACATAGGAGTGCAGATATCTCGTTGATATATTGATTTCCTTTCTTTTGCTTATGCATCCAGCAGTGGGATTGCCGGATCATATGGTAGCTCAATTTTTAGTTTTTTGAGGAAACTTCAAACTATTCTCCTTAGTGGCTGTACTAATTTACATTCCCACATCAACAGCACACAAGGGTTCCCTTATCTACACATCCTTGTCAGCATTTGTTATTGCCTGTCTTTTGGATATAAGCCATTTTCACTGAGGTGAGATGATATCTCATTGTAGTTTTTATTTGCATTTCTCTGATGATCAATGATGTTGAGCACTTTTTCATATGCCTGTTTGCCATTTGCATGTCTTCTTTTGAGAAATTGTTCAAATCTTTTGCCTATGTTTGATTGGATTAATTGATTTTTTACTGTAAAGTTGTTTGAGCTCCATATGTATTCTGGTTACTAATCCTTTGTCAGATGGGTAGTTTGCAAATATTTTCTCCCATTCTATTTGTTGTCTCTTCACTTCGTTTATTGTATCCTTTGCTGTGCAGAAGGCCTTTTAACTTGATGTGATCTCATTTGTCCATTTTTGTTTTGGTTGCCTGTGCTTGTGGATATTGCTCAAGAAATTTTTGCCCAGACCAATGTCCTGGAGAGTTTCCCAAATGTTTTCTTGTAGTAGTTTCATAGTTTGAAGTCTTAGATTTAAGTCTTTAATCCATTTTGATTTGATTTTTGTATATGGAGAGAGATAGGGGTCTAGCTTCATTCTTCCATACATGGAAATCCACTTTTCCACACATCATTTACTGAAGAGACTTTTTCTCAGTGTATGTTCTTGGTACCTTTGTTGAAAATGAGTTCACTGTAGGTGCATGAATTTATTTCTGGGTTCTCCATTTTTGTCCCATTGGTCTATGTGTCTCTTTTGATGCAAGTACCATGCTGTTTTGGTTACTCTAGCTCTGTAGTATGATTTGAAGTAAGGCAATGTGATTCCTCCAGTTTTTTTTCATTTTTCTTTTGGCTATTCTGGGCCTTTCATGGTTCCACATAAATTTTAGGATTTTTTTTTCTATTTCTGTGAAGAATACCATTGGTATTTTGATAGGAATTGCATGGAATCTATAGATTGCTTTCAGTAGTATAGACATTTTAATAATATTGATTATTCCAATCTATTAATATGGAATATTTTTCCATTTTTTGGTGTCCTCATGAATTTCTTTCATTGGTGTCTTACAGTTTTCATTATAGAGATCTTTTACTTCTTTGATTAATTCCTATTTAATTTTATGTGTGGCTATTGTAAATAGGATTATTTTAAAATTTATTTTTCATATTGTTCATTGTTGGCATATACAAATGTTACTGATTTTTGTATGTTGATTTTTGTATCCTGCAACTTCGCTGAATTTATCAGTTCTAATAGTTTTCTGTGGAGTCTAAGCTTTTCCAAATATAAGAGCATATCATCTGTAAAAAAGATATTTCTTCCCATCCAATTTGGATGGCCCTTAATATCTTTCTCTTGTCTGATTGCTCTAGGTAGGACTTCCAGGACTGTTTTGAGTAACAGTGGTGACAGCGGGCATCCTTGTTGCATTCCAGATTAGAGGAAAGGCTTTCAGTTTTTCCCCATTCAGTATGATACTGGCTGTGGGTCTGTCGTATATGGCTTTTATTATTCTGAGGCATTTTCCATCTAATTTTTGAGGATTTTTGTCACGAAGGGATGCTGAATTTTTATCAAATGCTTTTTCATCATATATTGAAATGACCATATGTTTCTTACCCTTTATCTGTTGATATGATGTATCACATTGATTGATTTGCATATGTTGAACTATCCTTGTATCCCAGGGATAAACTCCAGTTGGTCATGACAGATGATCTTTCTAATGTATTGTTGAATTTGGTTTTCTAGTATTTTGTGCAATCTGGATAGGCTGATAATCCCAAATCATCAAGTCCTGGTTCATTTTTTGCTTAGCAGTTTTTCCCACTTATCTTTTCCTCTTGAATTTTACTACAACCAGCAAAAAGAAATGAGGCCACAGCTTCGACACATTGCTTAGAAATTTCCTCAGTTAAATATCTGAGTTCATCATTCACAAGTTTTGTTTTCCACATAACTGCAGGACACTATTCAGCTAAGTTCTCTGTCCTGCATAACAAGGATCCCCTTTTCTTCCTTTCCTAGTAACATGCTCCTCATTTCCACCCAAGTCCTCACCAGTAGTGCTTTGAACATACATATTTCTACCAACAGTCTGTTCATGATAATTTGGGTATTCTTTAAGATGATTTAGATTTTCTCTACCATTCAACTCTCTTCCTTCCAATTCCTCAGGAACAGAATCATTAACACACATATTTCTATTAACAGTCTGTTTGAGGAAATGCAGGCTTTTTCTAGCACGCTTTTCAAATTTTTCTCAGTTCTAACTATTCCTCAATTTCAAAGCCATATCCACATGTTTAGGTATTTATTGCAGCAGCACCACACTTTCAGGTACCAAAACCTGTATTTATTTCTTATTCTTGCTGTAACAAATTACCACAAACTTAGTGGTCTAAAACAACATAAACATACTATGTTATCGTTCTGGAGGTCACAAGTATGAAATAAATCTCTCTGGGCTAAAGTCAGTGTTGGCATGGCTGAGTTCCTTCTGGAGACTCTAGGGAAGAATCTGATTTCTTGCCTTTCCTAGCTTCTAGAGGCCACCTGCATTCCTTGGCCCCATACTCCATTTATAATGCTAGCAATGGCACTACTCTGACCTCTGCCTCCATTGTCGTACCTCCCTTTATCAATCTGCCTCCTTCTTCCATCTTTTAAGGATACTTATTATCACACAGGGCCCACTTGAATAGTCCAGAATACTCCATTTTAGGATTCTTAACATCTGCAAAATAAGGTAACATATTGACAGATTTTGGTGATTAAAACAAGAACCTTTGTGGGAGTGTTACTCTGCTTACCACACGCATTTGGCATTAAAAAAATCTTATTTGGTTAAAAGAAACTCTCTTTTACATTGCTGCTTCTCTTCCTATTTCTTTCTATTGCCCTAATTCCCTTCTCAACAAATGGTGTGCTTATAATTAAATAGATAATATATGTAAAGCATATATTTTTGTTGTTTGAAATTCTTTTCCTTCCTTATATATCCCAAGTAACTAGAAGTGTGCCTGGCACTTGTTAGCATTCAGTAAGTAATAAGTAATTGTTTAATGAAAGAATGAATATTCAACTAATCATTAGTTACTTCTACAAATAATTAACTCTTTCTGTTCATTGTATTTATACATATGCATGTTCATTATCTATTAATAGCTGCTACTTCCCAGAAATTATTGAGAGAAGACCCCTGTATCTTGGTTTTATATGCTTTCCTGAATAAAGTAAACTTTACATTTTGTCTTATCAGTGGGCATCACCCTTTGAAAGTGTTTTTGAAGGACTATGGTACTTTGACTATTGGAGCCTAAGAAAGATGAGAATATAATGTTAGCTTTATATTACCAAGTAAGGTTATTCTATTATTCAGAACTCACTCAAGTTTCCTCTCACCTTTATTCTACTTCCTCATTAACAATTCATCAGTTTGATAAGTTAATCATAGCAAAAAAATCACAGATGAAGCACTAATCTGTCATTTTTCCCTGTGACCTGCAGGCTCTTTGACACCCGGTACAGCATCCGGGAGAATGGTCAGCTCCTCACCATCCTGAGTGTGGAAGACAGTGATGATGGCATTTACTGCTGCACGGCCAACAATGGTGTGGGAGGAGCTGTGGAGAGTTGTGGAGCCCTGCAAGTGAAGATGAGTGAGTGGGAAAGAGATTCGTCTATTGATTTGAAAGTTGACTTGGTACACTTAGTTATTTATTTATTTTTTATATATTTTTTTGAGACAGAGTCTCACTGTTGCCCAGGCTGGAGTGCAGTGGCGTGATCTCGGTTTACTGCAACCTCGACCTCCTGGGTTCAAGTGATTCTCCTGCCTCAGGCTCCTGAGTAGCTGGCACTACAGTTGCATGCCACCACACCTGGGTAATTTTTCTATTTTTAGAAGATATGGGGTTTTACTATGTTGGACAGGCTGGTCTGGAACTCCTGACCTCAGGTGATCCGCCTACCTTGGCCTCCCAAAGTGCTAGGATTACAGGCTTGAGCCACTGCGCCTACCCTGACTTGGTACACTTTAGAACAGTCAGTAAATAGAGATTTTTTCAAGCCTGGTGATTCAGCAGTGAGACAACTTGAAGTTCAAGCACAACCCTGAGGCCAGTTAATTCCACACCTCTTATACCTGCCATCAGCCACTACCCTAAGGCAAGCCTCTCAATTCTCTGTCCTCTCCCATTTTCTTAACTTCACACATCTCCTGACTTCCACCCTGAATTCTTCCACCAGGAAACCTTCCTCTAAATCCCTTACCCTACATCTGTGAAACACAACCAAACACCTTTTTATTTCTTTTTGTTTTTTTTTCTTATTATACTTTAAGTTCTAGGGTACATGTGCACAACATGTAGTTTTATTACATATGCATACTTGTGCCATGTTGGTGTGCCGCACCAATCAACTCGTCAGCACCCATCAACTCGTCATTTACATCAGGTATAAGTTATACCTTTTTATTTCTAACCTCTTTGCAGACACTACTACCCTTTTTCCTTATTTCAAAGTTGATAATCTTCAGAGTGATTTTCTGCTTCAATGGAAGCTGTCCTATTTTCCCCACTTCATGTCTACAAGGTAATCTCTCAGCCCTCAATGTTGCTTTTAAACCATTCTATTTTGTATTCCTATACAAAATCTTTCCTCTGATGAGTGCTTATGCCAATGCCATTCTGATCTATCTTTTCTCTAACTGTATTCATCATGTCATCTAATAATCTAGGCACTTCCCCATATTTATTACAAAATTTAATTCCAGGCTTACTATTCTATCTATCTCTACTCCTGTAATCACCCTAAGAAATTTTAACAGCCATGAAATAGAACCACTAACCACTTAATTCTCACAACTCCTTGACCTCCACAAATGCAGTGATGTTTGTCGGTTTTTTTTTTCAATTTTAAGGCCCATACTTTTAATCTATATGTACTATATGTACACACATATATGTAGTAGTTTACGAGGAATAGTGGTTTTATTTTTTTAACTTTCATTTTGAGTTCAGGGGTACATCTGCAGAATGTGCAGGTGTTTTACATAGGCAAACATGTGCCATGGTGGTATATTGCACAGATCATCCCATCACCTAGGTATTAAGCCTAGCATCCATTCTATTCTTCATGATGCTCTCCCTCCTCACACCAAGACCCCCGACAGGCCCCAGTGTGTGCTGTTTCCCCCCATGTGTTCATGTGTTCCCATCGTGAACTCCCACTTGTAAGTGAGAACATGCAGTGTTTGATTTTCTGTTCCTGTATTAGTTTACTGAGGATGACGGCTTCCAACTCCTTCCATGTCCTCGCAAAGGACATGATCTCATTCCATTTTATGGCTGCATAGTATTCCATGGTGTATATGTACCACATTTTCTTTATCCAGTCTATCATTAATGGGTACTTAGGTTGTTTGTGTTAACTGTTTTTTTTGTTTTATATATATATATTTAAATATATATTTCATACATATATATAAATATATATACATAATATATAAATATATATTTTTTTTGAGACGGAGTCTCACTCAGGCTGGAGTACAGTGATGTGATCATGGCTTACTGCAACCTCTGCCTCCTAAGTTCAAGCAATTCTCCTGCCCCAGCCTCCCAAGTAGCTGGGATTACAGGCATGTGCCACCACACCCAGCTAGTTTTTGTATTTTTGGTAGAGTCAGAGTTTCGCCAAGTTGGTCAGGCCAGTCTTGAACTCCTAACCTCGAGTAATCTGCTTGCCTTGGTTTCCCAAAGTGCTGGGATTACAGTCATGAGCCTGTCTGTGTGAACTCTTTATCAGCCTACCCAATCGATGATTCATTCTTGGCCTTGTCACCCCCTGGAAGTAGTCTGCATTTAAAATCTTCAGCTCCAGTACATCACTCTCTGATCATGGACATTTTTTGATCTAGCCTTGCTAGATGAGCAAAACAGTTTCCCATACTCATGACTTGCCTTCAAGTAGAGTTTGTGGGCATAAACTTCCATTGTCTCCTTCTCAGCTAACAACAGTGTCTCAGTCTCTCTCATTCTCCTACTCTTGCTATACAACATCAGCATCACCAACATCATCAAGTTCTCTTACCTTGATTCCTCTCTGTTCTCCTTTCCATTGACTCCCCAATGGGGCTTTTATTTCCTTCCATACTTAGTTCTTTCTACTACCTGGTGGTAAGAAACACTGCCTTACCAGCATCTTTAAATCTCATGGTCTCCTGTCCTGTAAACATCTGCTACTTGCAAACTGTCAATCTTACAATGATGTAACCTTCATCTTCTCTTCTCTGACACTCTTATAACCATACATACTGGCACCACACAAATTAGAGGAATTTAGATCTACTTGGGACATTTATTTTTAGTTTTTGCGTTTTTGTCTTTCATCGTTTATTTCTTATCGTTTGTTATTTTGCTGGAGGAAATCATTAGGTACTTTTTTCAGAGAGTGAAGACGTAAAATATTTCCTGAATTTTTGCATGTTTGGAAGTCTTCATTTTGCTTGCATTGTTGGATAATAATTTTGCTGTGTGCAGAATCAGAATTTTAAAAGCCCCTTTCTTTAGTTTTAGTAGGTAATTCTCTGTTGCGAATGAGAAGTCTTTTTCTTATTTCTTTACAGGTAAATCTGATGTCTCTCTTAAAAAGTTTAGGATTTTTCTTCTTATTTCTAGAGTTCATAAATTTCACAAATTCACAAGAATATGTTAGGTATATTTTTAAGAATTATTCCTACTCAGTTCTGAGTGAGCCTTGTTTTTCCTTTGTTTGTTTCTTTTGTTTTTGTTTTGTTTTGTTTTCTTTCGAGACAAGATCTCACTCTGTAACTCAGGCTGTAGTGCAGTGATGTGATCATGGTTCACTGCAGCCTTGACTGCTCAGGCTAAAGCAATCCTCCTGCTTCAGCCTCCCAAGTAGCTAGGACTACAGGCATGAGCCACCATGCCAGGCTAATTTTATTTATTTACTTATTTACTTTTTTTGGTAGAGATAAGTTCTCACTATGTTGCACAGGCTGGTCTTGAACTCCTGTGCTCAAATGATCCTCCCACCTTGGCCTCCCAAAGTATCGAGATTACAGGAGTGAGCCACTGCACCCAGCCTAGGTGGGCCTTTTTGATCTAAAGACCAAAGCTTTTTTGAAAATCAGGTACATTTTCTCTATTTTTTTTCTTTTTTCTTTCTCTATGACTTTAAATTTTTCTTTTTTTTAATTTTTTTTTTTATTTTATATATATATATATATTTAATTTATTTATTATTATTAAACTTCAAGTTGTAGGGTACATGTGCACAACGTGCAGGTTTGCTACATATGTATACTTGTGCCATGTTGGTGTGCTGCACCCATCAACTCGTCATTTACATCAGGTATAACTCCCAATGCAATCCCTCCCCCCTCCCCCCTCCCCATGATAGGCCCCGGTGTGTGATGTTCCCCTTCCCGAGTCCAAGTGATCTCATTGTTCAGTTCCCACCTACGAGTGAGAACATGCGGTGTTTGGTTTTCTGTTCTTGTGATAGTTTGCTAAGAATGATGGTTTCCAGCTGCATCCATGTCCCTACAAAGGACACAAACTCATCCTTTTTTATGGCTGCATAATATTCCATGGTGTATATGTGCCACATTTTCTTAATCCAATCTGTCACTGATGGACATTTGGGTTGATTCCAAGTCTTTGCTATTGTGAATAGTGCTGCAATAAACATACGTGTGCATGTGTCCTTATAGCAGCATAATTTATAATCCTTTGGGTATATACCCAGTAATGGGATGGCTGGGTCATATGGTACATCTAGTTCTCCTCATATTTTCTGCACGTCTTGATATTCTATTCTCTTGAAGATTCCTTTTACTTTTCCTTCATATTATGAATGTGGTCTCTGGTATGACTGTTTTGTCATTCTGAGTGTTTTGGTCTTAAAAACTATATTTTCCATTTCTAAGAATTTCCTTGATGGCTCTGTTTTTATAACAAACTCACTTGTATGATACAATATTCACTTAAGCTTCTAAGGATATCACTAGTGCATCTTTTAAAAAGACATTTTCTTTTTTTCCCTGCATTTTATTTCCTTCAGAAAAAAACATTGATTTTGTTTCGATTCCATCCTTTTATGTTTACAATTTTTCTCAATTGATCTTTTATTTTTTGGTCATAAATATACATGGAGTCTTCAGTTAATTAGGATAAAAAGCTGGTGGGAATAGCAGGACTTCATGGAATACTGATTTGGTACTTACTGTGCGTAAGTAGGTGGGGATCTGCCTATACGCAGGCTTCCCTTCAGTATGCGGAGCAGTAAGAAATACAATAAGGAAGTTGGAATGCTCTCATTTGCTAAATAATGAAGACTTGATTCTGAGGATGAAACACATTCAAGTATTTCCTTACTTTGTGACACTACCTTTCTTTTGAATGTTTTACGTATTCTCTCTGGGCCAAATATTCTTTATTTGGGTTCTATACTAAATCCCCTTCTCTTGTCTTGTTTTTTCCAACCTCTCCTTTTGGAGATCTCATCCATTCATGTGGATATACACCAGTGTGGCCGTTCCAATTGCTAAAATTTTGGAATGCTTCCATACTTCTTGGGAAGACCTATTTTGTAAGGCTCCCAAGATCCCCCAACCCCTATCACTACTCCAGCTCTCTTAAGCCTCCCCCGAAGAACTCCGTCCCCTAAATTCCTAATGGTCCATCAGCTGAAGTCTCAATGCTGGCACAGCAGGATACTTTCAGGACTCTGCTTTAAGGTGACCAGTTCTTATTGGTCAGTACTTATGACTCCACCCTGAATCATGTTCCCTTACAGTGGGGATCCATGGCTATGCGTCAATACTCTAGTCATTCCTAGTTGACTTCATATTCAATTTCCCAAAAGAGGATTCCCCACTCCTCACCTAACAGATGACCAAGACATCATGTCATGTCACTGAGAAGATAGGAGTTTTTTGCTTTAACCTAAGGTCTTTACCTAAGACATTATCTGTGCCTCAGGTTTACCATAGAGATCTTGTTCAGGGAACCCATGGAAGGCACAGATACCACTTTATTTGACTGTCATAGGAATATCAAGTGCTAAGCTAAGTTTTTCCCAGCAACTGTATGACAATACAACTCACAATTGAGGAACCTGGCTAGTACTGTATCTAAATGTAGGTATTTACACTTTATTAGAAGGAGAGTTGTGTGCTATAGATAGCAGGCAAAGTAATAAAGTTGTTATTTTCCTATTTTAAAGTCTTCCTTGTATTTTTGCTATAACACAGGGCCACAGCAACTCTAAATGGCAGTAAATGCTTAGATTAAAAACCAACAGGAATCCCAGCACTTTGGGAGGCCGAGGTGGGCAGATCACGAGGTCAGGAGATCGAGATCATCCTCACTAACAGGGCGAAACCCCGTCTCAACTAAAAATACAAAAAAAAATAAAAAACAAACAAACAAATTAGCCGGGCATGGGTGGCGGGTGCCTCCTGTCCCAGCTCCTCGGGAAGCTGAGGCAGGAGAATGGCGTGAACCCAGGAGGCGGAGCTTGCAGTGGGCTGAGATTGTGCCACTTCACTCCAGCCTGGGTGACACAGCCAGACTCCATCTCAAATAAATAAATAAATAAATAAATAAATAAATAAATAAATAAAAATAAATAAATAAAAAACCAACAGATCATGAAGGCTTTGCAAATACCTCTTACTACCAACAACATCAAAGCCCCCACTCCTCTCCCTCTCATTGAATTAGAAGGAAAAAAAGTCCTTATTTTATGCTTTCCTTTGTCAAAACAACAAATTGGTTATGGCACATGTCCTGCAAGAAATAAAATGTATCCATTTCTCAGTAGTCTTTCTTGCCAAGACCCCTCTGTATCTGTAGCATAAAATTCCTAAGGACATAAATGTAGTTTTAACTATTTTATGAATAGTACTAAAATAACTGGCATCCTGAACTTATCAATTCTTTTGTATATGAGATTTAATAACTTTCTTTGAAAATTTCATATTTCAGAATAAAAATTAACTGGTGTAAACTATTTCTTCTGAAAGATTAAGAGTGTTTGAACAGTAAATTACATGTTTGCTTTACAGAATTGAGTCCCCCCCAAATTGTATGAGAGAATTTCTTCTGATTGTTAATATAATAATATCTGATTTACTTTCTAGAGAATGAATGTATTTAATTAATAATCATCAAATTTAATAGTCAAATTAAGATGGAAGCACAAGGGAAAATAGGTCATAATTTATAACTATATAAGAATATAGTTATACCAAAATTTTCTTTTTAAATGTTTTATGTCTATCAGTATGAGTTAAATAATGTTGAATTGCTATGGTGACAGCCTATGTTAATCGGCTTTTATTAACTATCTTTTAAAATGAAGACTGCTATGGTAACTTCACACTCTTAATATTTTTCATAAATTTGTGTTTTGCTAGTAAGATTCTAATAAAGCAGAGACAACCAAGTGTTTCTAAACTGATTTCTGTTTGATATCTACTGAAGAAAACCGTCTTAGCATTTGGTGAATTTTTTAATGTAACATGCCTCAAATGATTCTTAAAACAGATATTTAGAATTAAATTGAAAGTTAGAAACTCTAGGTTTAATAAAGCTATGTTGCCTTATTTATTTTGAATTTTCATTTCTTTTTAGAACCTAAAATAACTCGTCCTCCCATAAATGTGAAAATAATAGAGGGATTAAAAGCAGTCCTACCATGTACTACAATGGGTAATCCCAAACCATCAGTGTCTTGGATAAAGGGAGACAGCCCTCTCAGGGTAAGTGGTTGTGATGTTAAAACATGTATATAAAATGTATTTTAAAATATAACATTTCTTTACATACTCAGTTACACACTTACAAACTTCTAATATAAAATAGTTTCCATGTACATTTCAACCAAATGTAAATATTTCTGTTTGCATATATGCAAACTGTATGGCATTTCATTTGGGTCTGACTAGGAAAAAAAAGAAATAGGATCCAATAATGTTAAAGATAGAACAAAGGGACGCTCATCAGACTAACAGCAGATCTCTTGCCAGAAACTCTACAAGCCAGAAGGGAGTGGGGGCCAATATTCAACATTCTTAAAGAAAAGAATTTTAAACCCAGAATTTCATATCCAGCCAAACTAAGCTTCATCAGTGAAGGAGAAATAAAATCCTTTACAGACAAGCAAATGCTTAGAAATTTGTCACCACCAGGCCTGCCCTACAAGAGATCCTGAAGGAAGCACTAAACATGGAAAGGAACAACCGGTACCAGCCATTACAAAAATATGCCAAAATGTAAAGTCCATCGATGCTAGGAAGAAACTGCATCAACTAATGAACAAAATAACCAGCTAATATCATAATGACACGATCAAGTTCGCACGTAACAATATTAACCTTAAATGTAAATGGACTAAATGGTCCAATTAAAAGACACAGACTGGCAAACTGGATAAAGAGTCAAGACCCATCAGTTTGCTGTATTCAGGAGAACCATCTCACATGCAGAGACACACATGGGCCCAAGCTAAAGGGATGGAGGAAGATCTTCCAAGCAAATGGAAAACAAAAAAAAGCAGGGGTTACAATTCTAGTTCTGATAAAACAGACTTTAAACCGTCAAAGATCAAAAGAGACAAAGAAGGTCATTACATAATGGTAAAGGGATCAATTCATCAGGAAGAGCTAACTATCCTAAATATATATGCACCCAATACAGGAGCACCCAGATTCATAAAGCAAGTCTTTAGAGACTTACAAAGAGACTTAGACTCCCATACAATAATAATGGGAGACTTTAAAACCCCACTGTCAACATTAGACAGATCAACGAGACAGAAAGTTAACAAGGATATCCAGGAATTGAACTCAACTCTGCACCAAGTGGATCTAATGGACATCTACAGAACTCTCCACCCCAAATCAACAGAATATACATTCTTCTCAGCACCACATCACACTTATTCCAAAATTGACCACATAGTTGGAAGTAAAGCACTCCTCAGCAAATGTAAAATAACAGAAATTATAGCAAACTATCTCTCAGACCACAGTGCAATCAAACTAGAACTCAGGACTAAGAAACTCAATCAAAACAACTCAATTACATGGAAACTGAACAACCTGCTCCTGAATGACTACTGGGTACATAATGAAATGAAGGCAGAAATAAAGATGTTCTTTGAAATCAATGAGAACAAAGATACAACATACCAGAATCTCTGGGACACATTAAAAGCAGTGTGTGGAGGGAAATTTATAGCACTAAATGCCCACAAGAGAAAGCTGGAAAGATCTAAAATTGACACCCTAACATCACAATTAAAAGAACTAGAGAAGCAAGAGCAAACACATTCAAAAGCTAGCAGAAGGCAAGAAATAACTAAGATCAGAGCAGAACTGAAGGAGATAGAGACACAAAAAACCCTCCAAAAAATCAATGAATCCAGGAGCTGGTTTTTTGAAAAGATCAACAAAATTGATAGACCACTAGCAAGACTAATAAAGAAGAAAAGAGAGAAGAATCAAACAGACACAATAAAAAATGATAAAGGGGATATCACCACCAACCCCACAGAAATACAAACTACCATCAGAGAATACTAAAAACACCTCTACACAAATAAACTAGAAAGCCTGGAAGAAATGGATAATTTCCTGGACACTTACACTCTCCCAAGACTAAACCAAGAAGAAGTTGAATCCCTGAATAGACCAATAGCAGGCTCTGAAATTAAGGCAATAATTCATAACCTACCAACCAAAAAAAGTCCAGGACCAGACGGATTTACAGTCAAATTCTACCAGAGGTACAAGGAGAGCTGGTAGCATTCCTTTGTAAACGATTCCAATCAATAGAAAAAGAGAGAATCCTCCCTCAGTCATTTTATGAGGCCAACATCATCCTGATAACAAAGCCTGACAGAGACACAACAAAAAAAAGAGAATTTTAGACCAATATCCCCAATGAACATCGATGCAAAAATCCTCAATAAAATACTGGCAAACTGAATCCAGCAGCACATCAAAAAGCTTATCCACCATGATCAAGTGGGCTTTATCCTGGGATGGAAGGCTGGTTCAACATATGCAAATCAATAAGCATAATCCAGCATACAAAGAGAACCAAAGACAAAAAGCATATAAACGTAGTCCAGCATATAAACAGAACTAAAGACAAAAAGACAAAAACCACATGATTATCTCAATAGATGCAGAAAAGGCCTTTGACAAAATTCAACAGCCCTTCATGCTAAAAACTCTCAATAAATTTGGTATTGATGGAACGTATCTCAAAATCATAAGAGCTATTTATGATAAACCCACAGTCAATATCATACTGAATGGGCAAAAACTGGAAAAATTCCCTTTGAAAACTGGCACAAGACAAGGATGCCCTCTCTTACCACTCCTATTCAACATTGTGGTGGAAGTTCTGGCTAGGGCAATCACACAAGAGAAAGAAATAAAGGGTATTCAGTTAGGAAAAGAAGAATTCAAACTGTCCCTGTTTACAGATGACATGATTATATATTTAGAAAACCCTATCGTCTCAGCCCAAAATCTCCTTAAGCTGATCAGCAACTTCAGCAAAGTCTCAGGATACAAAATCAATGTGCAAAAATCACAAGCATTCTTATATACCAGTAACAGACAGACAGAGAGCCAAATCATGAATGAACTCCCATTCACAATAGCATCAAAGAGAATAAAATACCTAGGAATACAACTTACAAGGGATGTAAAGGACTTCTTCAAGGAGAACTACAAACCACTCTCAGTGAAATAAAAGAGGACACAAACAAATGGAAGAACTTACCATGCTCATGGATAGGAAGAATCAATATTGTGAAAATGGCCATACTGACCAAAGTAATTTATAGATTCAATGCCATCCCCATTAAGCTACCAATGACTTTCTTCACAGAATTGCAAAAAACTGCTTTAAAGTTCATATGGAAGCAAAAAGGACCCTGTATTGCCAAGACAATCCTAAGCCAAAAGAACAAAGCTGGAGGCATCACATTACCTAACTTCAAACTATACTGCAAGGCTACAGTAACCAAAACAGCATGGTACTGGTACCAAAACAGAGATATGGACCAATGGAACAGCACAGAGCCCTCAGAAATAATACCACACATCTACAGCCATCTGATCTTTGACAAACCTGAGAAAAACAAGAAATGGGCAAAAGATTCCCTATTTAATAAATGGTGTTGGGAAAATTGGCTAGCCATAAGTAGAAAGCTGAAACTGGATCCTTTCCTTACTCCTTATACGAAAATTAATTCAAGATGGATTAGAGACTTAAATGTTAGACCTAAAACCATAAAAACCCTAGAAGAAAACCTGGGTAATACCATTCAGGACATAGGCATGGGCAAGGACTTCATGTCTAAAACACCAAAAGCAATGGCAACAAAAGCCAAAATTGACAAATGGAATCTAATTAAACTAAAGAGCTTCTGCACAGCAAAAGAAACTACCATCAGAGTGAACAGGCAACCTACAGAATGGGAGAGAAATTTTGCAATCTATTCATCTGACAAAGCGCTAATATCCAGAACCTACAAAGAACTCAAACAAATTTACAAGAAAAAAACAAACAACCTCATCAAAAAGTGGGCAAAGGATATGAACAGACACTTCTGAAAAGAAGACATTCATACAGCCAACAGACACATGAAAAAATGCTCATCATCACTGGCCATCAGAGAAATGCAAATCAAAACCACAATGAGATACCATCTCATGCCAGTTAGAATGGCAATCATTAAAAAATCAGGAAACAACAGGTGCTGGAGAGGATGTGGAGAAATAGGAACACTTTTACACTGTTGGTGGGAGTGTAAACTAGTTCAACCATTGTGGAAAACAGTGTGGCGATTCCTCAAGGATCTAGAACTAGAAATACCATATGACCCAGCCATCCCATTACTGGGGATATACCCAAAGGATTATAAATCATGCTGCTATAAAGACACATGCACACATATGTTTATTGCAGCACTATTCACAATAGCAAAGACTTGGAATCAACCCAAATGTCCATCAGTGACAGACTGGATTAAGAAAATGTGGCACATATACACCATGGAATACTATGCAGTCATAAAAATGGATGAGTTCGTGTCCTTTGTAGAGACATGGATGCAGCTGGAAACCATCACTCTCAGCAAACTATCGCCAAGAACAGAAAACCAAACATCGCATGTTCTCACTCATAGGTGGGAATTGAACAATGAGATCACTTGGACACCGGGGCCTATTGTGGGGAGGGGGGAGAGGGAAAGGGGAGAGGGTTAGCATTAGGAGATATACCTAATGTAAATGACGAGTTAATGGGGCACACACCAATATGGCACATGTATACATATGTAACAAACCTGCACATTGTGTACATGTAACCTAGAACTTAAAGTACAATAATAAGAAAAAATAATGCATTAGTAGGGTATATGAGTTACAACCAATGAACTAATATTGATACATTATCATTAAATTTATAGTTTACATTTAAAAAAAAAGATAGAAAAGGAGGCAATGCAAAAGCAAACCTGGAATCACTTGTGTTTGTTGACTGGTTATGTCATTTATTTTTTTAATGTTGAATTTGAGACGTAGGGGATGAAAAAGAGACACTAAAACCCAGGCTTTAGAACTGACAATTTCTGGAAGGAGGGATGGAGACAAGGTTCGGAAGAAAAGAAATGAGAGCTCTGGAGAGAAGTTAGGCGAAAAGACTCAAGATTCATACACAAATACCTTGGCAAATCCCTCCTGAGTCACGAAGAGTAGTCACACCTGTAATTCCAGCACTTCAGGATGCCAAGGCAGGCGGATCACCTGAGGTCGGGAGTTCAAGACCAGCCTGGCCAACATGGCGAAATCCTGTCTCTACTAAAAATACAAAAATTAGCTGGATGTGGTGGTGCGTGCCTATAATCCCAGCTACTCAGGAGGCTGAGGCAGAAGAATCACTTGAACCTGAGAGGCAGAGCTTGCAAGATCGCACCCTGCACTCTAGCCTGGGCAATAGAATGAGAGTCCATTTCAAAAAAAAAAAGTTATTATCTATACGCTTATTTTGTACTGCCTCTGTATCTTATCCCCACATTTATTGATAAATTATTATATGGCATCATTATTGTCTTTCCATCTTTGTATCACCTAAAAGATCACAGACTATGTTTCTCATTTAACAATGCATAGTGTATTTTATAGGGAATGCAAAGGTGTCACCATATGTCAATTAACTGAACTAAGGTACAAAATTATTCAGCTCTGCTTTATTTAAAATAAAATAAATATTGCTAATTTTTAATGATTATCTAATTATCTGGCTTTCCTTTTGTTATAAATCTTGGTGCATTTCCTACAATGACAAACAAGGGTGGTTGTACTTATGTTACTGAATTTAGGGTCCAAAACAGAAAAGACAGATGTAATATTTAAACTCTAAGGAGTAATTTTAATATTTTGTGTGAAATTTTCTAGCATTTCAAAGGACATGTACTCTTCTAAAGATACCATCTAGGGTGCAAGGTAAACTTGATAGTTAAAAGTAATGCATTTATTTATTTTTATTTCAATAGTTTTTGGGGTACTAGTGGTTTTGGGTTACATGGATGAACTAACTGTATAGTGGCCAAGTCTGAGATTTTAGTGCATCTATCACCCAAGTGCTGTACATTATACCCAGTATGTAGTTTTGTATGCCTCACCACCCCCTTCTGCAACATCTCCCCCTTCTAAAAGCAATGCTTTTAATCAGATTTAGCAGTGACTTTGGGGAAGTAAAATAAGCCCTTACATATATATTCATGTGATGAAAGAAAATAAAAATAAACTATACCTCATAGGACCCTGGTGAAGATTAACTTAGGTACTCCTGCACTATTTCATTTAATGTTGTATGTTTTATATAATAAGTGCCCAATAAAAGTCAAAGTGATATCTTTGATGATAATAGTGATGACAGTAAGTTGATGATATTTGGCAAATGTATCCTTGATAGACCCTTAAACATTTTTGAATTCACGTCCCTATCTCTGGCAGGAAAATTCCCGAACTGCAGTTCTTGAATCTGGGAGCTTGAGGATTCATAACGTACAAAAGGAAGATGCAGGACAGTATCGATGTGTGGCCAAAAACAGCCTTGGGACAGCATATTCAAAAGTGGTGAAGCTGGAAGTTGAGGGTAAGGAGCTGCATTTGTTCCACTCACAGTGTGACCAGGGGCCTCACTCTCTATTATGAAGGCTGCACTTGGACTTGGGAGAGAATAGATGTGGGCAGCCCAGTTCCCTCAGTTGTTCCAGATATTAGGCCATAAGGTCAAGCCTATGATAACAGAATAGGAAAACTGAAAAAGAAAGAAATTTTCACTAGTATAAAAGGTCATATTCCATTGATTACTTACAATCACTGGTAATTTTTACCAAACAGACTAAATTTACTGTAATAGTAAAATAATAGAAATCCATTTTAGAATGTCTTCCTGGTTTGGATGATTATTCCCTCATTTACAAACTTGGGCACAACAATTTTAATCTTTTTCATCATATAGAGCAACTTTAAAAAGATGTGATAAGGGGGAAAAAGTAGCTATTTTCAGATAGTATTCTATCACAAAGCTTGAAAAAAAAAAATAAAACATTAACTCAAATCGTAAAGCCAAAAAGAATCTCAGTTCTATGAGTTATGTTGTCAAAATAGTTTTTCTTTTCTTTCTAAAAATATTTTTTAATCAGCTAATTCAACAACTTGGTGTGAAAGGTCTTCACTGAGAAATCAGAATCCAAATAGGTCTAGGTGTTCTATTCGCTTGTTAGTCGGGTCCTTTCTGACCTAAAATTGCACCACATTTTGCTTAAAAAGAACTACCAGCACACTTCTATTATGTGAGTAAACTGAGTACACACCCTTCCTAGCTCTTCCTGTTGTATGCCAGAGAATTAACATCTTTGGCTCCTAGCTTTCTCACCTGTTAAGTGGGGTTTGCTCTATTTAATGAAGTTAGATGTTGATAGTGATAGCAGAGCATCTGGTCCTGTGTGCACCCTCAGTAAATGTTGGCTATAAGAATTATCATCTATTTTTCTGCTTTTCTCTTATCTGATTGATAAGTGTTAAAGTATCACATACTGGCACAAATTACAGTTCAATCAGGAAAAGACTTGAAGAGTTCTCCATATTTTGCTTTGATTCTATCCTACTTTCCTTAGGCCAAAATCTATCTTTTTCTGCGTATTTCCTTCTCATTCATATCGTTTTCTATTAACCCCTTTAAGATTATTTTTATTTCCTTGATGGACATTCCTGCCACATCTTTAATGAGCTCGTTTCCCACATTTGCCTCTAATTGAGGTAACATCTTTATTATGTCATTGGACCAATTGCTCATAAAACGTTCATTAATTCCTCATGGAAAATAATGAGGTTGGTGGGAATAGTGGCTGTCAGAATACAAAAACACTTTTTCTGGAAGTTGCTGTAATTTAATATCTTCTAAATAATCGGTGCTCTTTAAAGCTCAGTATTCAACAACCAGTTGATGTGATTTATTCAGTAAAAACTAAATAAACCTACAAACCCACCCAGACACACATTCAGACTCACTGAGTATCTATCTCCCTAGATCCAGTGTTTTCTTGTCCTGTCTAAGGAATGATGCAGAATTAATGCTATCCATTTGTATAAAATACCAGAAAGAGTTTTTCATTTTAAGATATTAAAAATAAGGCTTCTGTATTATCGTATTTAATACTGATCATTTAGGTCACTAGCTTCATAGGTATTAAAACAATTTGCTTTACCTTGGACCTAGAGAAAATCATCACCGAACTCCATTAGTTGGAGTTATTATACAGTTTGGTTTTGTGTTACCATTTAATTTTGTATCATGCCTGTCAGTAGCACTGAATACTGCCTCTTTTTTCATAACAACCTTTAAATGGTCATGCTTAGTGCTTTAAAAGTTAATATATGCTAGAGACTGTATTAAATTTGCTAATACTGAGAGCTCATAATATCATTTAAAGTTACTCTAACTGTAGGTAATAAGATGTTAGCACATATGTCTATTTCTACCCTCATCTTAGTCCCTATTAAAATAGCCAAAAGATGTGACATGCTTAGCACAATTGCTGGTACATAATAAACATTTAATAAATGGAATCTACTATACTTATTATGATTAAAACATAAAATTGTAACAAATTTGCTTTGGCTCTGAAAGCTCTGAAAGGTTGACTTCCACTTGAAGAAATAGTTGAGGTATTTTCATAAGATATAATGTAGATGTGACCTACTTAGAGGTAGGGCTACCTCAACATACAACTCAGAACAAGTTTTTTTAAAAAAGCAACTGAGAAATGACTGGAAAAACCTCAAAAGTACATGCAGATGCCTGCTAGTTTGGCAATAATGAGGACTGAAGATGATGAGGCAGGGCCATGGTCAGTTGGGGCAGACGAGCATATGTATGTATCAAGTCGTAACCTTGCAAATTAGTTATATAATGGCTATATCGAATCAGAACTCTATGGTGCCATTTGATGCTGGGCTACACTTAACCCAGATGGGCATACAGGAAAAGATACGGTTTTGTCATTGATAACCTCTAATAAAGACAAACATACCAGGCCATGGGTTGAGTACAATGTGGTAACAATCTTTGCTGTAACAAATGTGAAAGAAACACCCTACCACAAAGAAGTAAAGCTCCCTTTCTAGATTGCCATTCTCAAACTGCTGGATCTCTGCAATGGAAATGTAAAGGTATCCTATACTTTGGTCTTGCCTTAAAATGTTCAACCAGTGACATACAGAATTATTGATGGAACCATCTAACTCAAGCACGGTGCAGCATGGATGTCTTTTTGAAAGGATGTCCAATGGGAAGACTAACATTTTAAAAGGTTCCATTGAGGCTAAATGTTTTATGTGGAGTATCTTGTTTAATCCTCACTAAAAGTCTGTAACAAGGGCCCTATATTCTGCCATTTTAGGGAACAGGAATAGAGAGGATAGCTAACTTACACAAGGCTGCACAGATAGCTGTGTCTAAGAATTTGAGTAAGGCTGAATACTGTCTGTTCTATTAAAAAATGAGATAGTCCTATGTGACATTGTCAAGAGAAGTGTCCAGATGAAAACGAGGGGAAAAGCCAGAATTCTGCAAATGAAGACGTTGGGAGTTGAAAAAAAAGAGACAGGAGGTATTGACACATTTTTCAATAAATTTTTCAGACAAAGGGAAGGAGCCATAAAAGGGAGCAGTAGCTGGAGCTATGTTTGGTGTGTAGATCATGTTGCATTGCAAGATTTCTCTTTGAAAAAGATTGAAATGTAAAAAAAATTAAATGTTAAAATATTAATGAGACTGAGCTCAGAGAGAAGGAAAATTCGAACATACATAAGAAAATATTCAAGCGAATGTGGTGCTGGAAAATGCACAAGGGTTGTATTCGGGGGCCAAGTAGAATGATAAACTGTATACAGAGGGTGACCACATGTTCTAGTTTTCCCAAGACAGTTCTGGTTTACACCTGTTGTCCTGGAATCATTATTAATAGAGTCTCTCTTTTACTTTCAGAGGTATCTAAGCTTCCATCATAAATTATATGGTCACTCTCCTTAGACAGGAAGACAGCATGTCCTCGTATTAGGAAGAAAGGAGAAGGGGGCTGTTTTCAGTATAAATTAGTTCATAAGTTTGGTGGATGGAATTTGAGAAAATTCTGTTCTTATGGTCTCTATTTCCTCTAGGAAGGAGAAATTAGGGTTATCTTTTGAAAACACTTTTGTTAAAGGGTCAGGGAAGGGGGTGGGGATGAGGTGAGTTCTAAAATAGCTGTGGGATGGGAGAGATGACTCACAAAGTAAACCAGGAAGGTAGGGCAGCATTAAAGCTTTAGTAGAGAGCAGGACCATGAATATGGAGTGGTATCAATCTGCATGGTTGCAGGGTTTTTTCTCCAGTGTTGCTCTGCTAGACAGCTGTAAGTTCAGAAAATTGCAGAAAGCTAAATTCAAAGGCAAGACATAAGTGTTGGAGTTTTGTCAGGAAGGAAAATAGGGCAAAGGATTTGAGACTATTGCAAAAGAGAGATTGAAGCAATGAATCATGGAATCTTTACGTACCAAATACACCTGTAATTTCTCTTTTCCTTCCTTCCTTCCTTCCTTCCTTCCTTCCTTCCTTCCTTCCTTCCTTCCTTCCTTCCTTCCTCCCTCCCTCCCTCCCTCCCTCCCTTCCTTTCTCTCTCTCTCTCTCTCTTTCTTTTCTTTCTGTTTGTTTGTTTTGAGACAAAGGCTCACTCTGTTGCTCAGGTTGGAGTGCAACGGCACAATCATAGCTAACTGTAGCCTCAAATTCCTAGGCTTAAGTTATTCTCCTACCTCAGTTTCTTGATTAGCTGGGGCTACAAGTGTGCACCACTGTGCCCAGGTATTTTATTTTATTTTATAGAGGGTCTTGCTATGTTGCCCAGGTTCGTCTCAAACTCCTCAAGCAATCCTCCAGCCTCGGTCTCCCAAAATGTTGGGATTACAGGCACGAGCTACCATGCCCAGCCACACCTATGATTTAATATCCAAATATGAAATACACTCAGATTTGAGCCTAGGATTAAACACTATAGCTCCAGCAATATGACAGACCAGATAATATGAAAATCTTCCTACAACAAACACCCAGAAATGCTGGGCTAGTTGTATAACTCATAAGAATGAAATGTAAATCTCTAGAAGCTCAAAATGCACAGGAACTGCAAAAACTGTAAACTCAATGGGCTGGTTTCTTGTTGTTCTAAAGGTAATGGGACAGGTGCTCATCTCTATAAACTAGGAGATTGGTTTGAAGACCATTAAAAGGGATTAATTTGAAAACCCTTAAACGGGCAGGAGACAGGGTCGTGGCCCATGTGCAATGGAGGTTAGCATTCAGACCCTTGTATAGAGCTGAGAACCACAAAAGTAGAAAGATGGGCTAGAAATTCCATCTACAGGCACAAAAACACAACAAAATGGCTTGTCTGTCTTTAGTTGTGAGGGAGAAAAAACCAGGTCTTCTTAGGAGTGAATATTCAACACCTAGGACTATAGCTTTCATAGGCTTGATATTGACTTAATACCGTCAACACTGTCTGGGAATTCTCAGCTGGAAAAATGAATATACAAACTGGTTTCAAGCTG